GTAGGGTAGAGTCCAGGGCCAACCTGGAGGGTCCCTTGTATCCTGAATGGCCTTGTGTGTCAGGTCTTTTCCTCATGACCTCGTCATGGGTGGGATCTCCCACAATGGCTCCCGGCAGAATTCGTTGTATTCTAGATGGTTTTTTTCTTATTGTGTCTTGTAAAATCTCTTTTGTGGTTTGTCTCTTTTAAGTGTTTTGAGATAACTGTAGCTTTTTACATAATGTAATAGATATTTAAGAATACAAAGAGATACACCACATACTCTTTACATAGTTTCCTCAAAAGGTAACAACTTACAAAATTAGAGTAACAATATCATAGCCAGAACATTGACATTGATATAGTGAAGATGCAGGACAATTCCATAACTACAAGGATTTCTCATATTGCCCTTTGATAGTCATAACCACTTCTCTTATGTCTCATCCCTCTTTATTTTACTTTCCTTTTTCCTGCTGGTCTTGGGTCTATTTTGCTCTTCTTTTTCTAGATTCTTGGGAGCTACGTTATTGTTTTGAGACTTCCTCTTTACTAATTTATACATTTAGTGCCATAAATTTCCCTCTCATCACAGCCTTAGGTATGTCCCATAAATTGTATGTGTTGTATTTTCACTTTCATTGAGTTCAGTGTATTCTTATGATTTTCCTTGAGACTTGCTCTTTGACCCCTAGATTATTTCAAAGTGTGTGGTTTAGTTTCCAAATATTTGAAGATTTTCATGTTATCTTTCTGTTATGATTACTGTTTTGATTCCAGTGTATCATAGAACACATTGTGTGCGATTTAACTCCTTTTAAATTGTCAAGGTCTGTTTTAAGACTCATAATATGGTCATACTTGCTTATGTTCTGTAAGGATTTGAAATGAATGTATATACTGATGTTGTTGGGTGAAATGTTCTATAAATATCAATTAGACCTATTCATTGATGCTGTTGTTGAATTCCTATAAATATTTGCTGATTTTCAATCTAATTGTCCTATCAATTTTTGAGAGTTTAGTGTTGAAGACTTAAACTATTGTGGATCCATCTATTTCACCTTTTAGTTCTATCAAGTTTTCATTCACATATTTTGCAATTTTGTTGTCTGTTGCATACAAATTTAGAATAGCTATGTCTTCTTTGTGGACTGGCCCTTTATCATTATATAATTCCTTCTGTGTTTCTAGTAGTTATCTTTGGTCTGAAATATAATTTATCTGGTATGAATGTAGCCTCTTCTACATTCCTTTGATTCATGTTTATATGATATAACCTTTCTGTCCACTTACTTTCATCCTGACTATATTGTTTTTGAAGTGCATTTCTTTTAGACAGTATATAGTTGGCTATTCCGCACTTTATACCAGGGAGGTCATCCAAAATCTCTTGAGGTGTCCTGATTTTTATTTATATTTATCTACTGGCCTTTTCCACAAATGATTTAAGAAAACCTCCAACAAGAACTATTTCAATGAAATAGTAATGAATAACAGAAAGTTAGGCCTAAGGAAAAGATGACACAGATATGTTGATCACAAAAGCTAAAATATTGTTATACCTTAGCTTTTAAACTTTGGAACTGAACTTCTTGGGAGTCAATATTGCTACAGTTGAGCTTAAATTTTGGAACTGAACTTCCTGGAAGTCAAAGTAACAAAGTACATCATGTATTTCTCATTGTCAGAAAAGAGGGAGGGCATTTCAATTACCAGTGATTCTAGACCAACTCTGTTGAATAAACTTTCAGTACTAACTTTCTCGGCCTTCATTGTTGAGTACAATAACTGCTAAAGACACATGACTGTTAAGTACTTCAAATGTGATTAGTAGCAGAGAAACTTTTATTTTTGTTAAATTTTTATTAATTAAAATTTAGTTAGCCATGGGTGGCTCACAGCTACTTAACTTAAGAATCCAGGTCTAGGGGGAAAAAGTTGCATAATGTAACTGAAGTCAAATGGACTGGGTCAATTTATATGAGTCATTTCAGTGGTATCCAACTCTTTGTGACCCCATGGACTGTATCCTGCCAGGCTCCACTGTCCATAGGACTCTCCAGGCAAGAATACTGGAGCAGGTTGCCATGCCCTCCTCCAGGAAATCTTCCTGACCCAGGGATTGAACTCATGTCTCTTATGTCTCCTGCATTGACAGGCGGGCTCTTTACCTGGGAAAGAGCCACCTGGGAAAGTGCCACCTGGGAAGCTACAATTTATGAGTCAGAGGTATATGTGACTGTGGAGAAGCTACTTAACCTTTCTGAGTCTCAGTTTCTAGACCTGTGACATAAATACAATGATAATATCTAAGACTCTGAGGAAATAAATAATATGTGCATTGTATTTAACACAAACCCTGACACACAGCAAATGCAGTCCTGTTTTAAATGCTTGGAATTACTTGGTTTATCAGATTTTATGCCACAAAACCTTTTACTCACACTAATATGGAAGTTTTATAAAAGAATCAATAACTAGGAGTCAGAGTTATGCTTGAGCATCTTAGCCAATAACTGGTTTCTGTCCACAGAATCAAAGGCCAATCATCACTGATAACAACCTAAAACCACTTCAAGCTGCTTGCAGATAATCTGTTCAAAAGCATGGGATTCTTTTTTTCTTGTCAAATTGTTAAGAGTTTCAGCCCCAATAATACCATTGAGTAGCTCTTTCAAACTTGCTGTTCATTATTTCTTCATTATGAGTCTATTAAGAGCAAAAATATTAATTTCAATGAGCTTTCATGAAGGGAATCATTACTTTTAATAAAAAGGACAGTTGTTAAAATAGGAATACCATATGTACTTAGCGAAGATAATGTCCAGACTTTGGGCTTGATACACTGCTGTACAGTTGACTAGAATCTGGCATCAAGCCCCAGCATGCGACCAAGAAAGAAAAATCAGAGGCTGTCACTCAGCTGGTGAGGTGACATGTATCTATAGGTCTTGAATTTATCCCTTTTTTGTATCAGTTTTATTATTCTGCAGATTTTGATAACTGGTACTTAAAACAGCTACTGACTCAGCCTTCAGTCCAAGCAGTAATCAACAAAATTGCTCTAACAGTAATTAGAATGATACAAATAAAGTTTTGGATTGCTATTTCCTAGACTGTAGGCTGCAGGTTAGAAATTTGAATGTTTTAATATTACTTGCTTCTTACATTTTTCTGAGAAGCCTCTCCTGTCACACAAAGACTTATGTGACAGTAGGCCAGCCTAGATGTTTAAGTAGCAAATGACTCTGTGTGTGTGTATGTGTGTGTGTGTGTACATATGTTTGCAAAGTATATGAAACAGGCTTTATGGACTGTAACAAACTGCAAACTCTCTTACATTGTTTTCAGTAGAATTCTCCCCAAGGTGATAGTGTAACAATAATCACTAGAAAGAAAAGTTTATCTTGGGTCAGCTTGCTCCTCATGGAAACTATTTGACAAAGACTTCCTACTCTACAAGAAGGTGGAGTTGTGAAAAAATGGCTGACATTCTTTGTTTGCAGGTTTGAAAGTGTCCTTAAAAAAATAAATCAGTTCTTCTAGCACAATCTTACATGAGTTCATCATACTTTTTGTCTAAAATCATATGTGGCTTACTAGACTTTGAACAGTATTCATTACAAAGCAGCCATTTAATTAGATGAATAACAAGTCTGAAACTGAGTCAGTTCTTTTGGGACAATCTTGAAAGGTACATTTTGGGAAAGGTAAATGAAAGTAGTGAGATCTTAACACTTAGCATAGTAGTACTAAGCAGTTGTTATCAGGGTGATGATTATGAGCCAGTTGTAGTTCAGTTGCTAAGTCATGTCCAGCTCTTTGCAGTCCCATAAACTGCAGCATGCCAGGCTTCCGTGTTCTTCACTACCTCCTTAAGTTTCCTCAAACTCATGTCCACTGAGTCAGAGATGCCATCCAACCATCTCATCCTCTGTTGCCCCCTTCTCCTGTTGTCCTCAATCTTTCCCAGCATCAGGGGTCTTTTCCAATGAGTCCACATTTCGCATCAGGTGGCCAAAGTTTTGGAGCTTTAGCATCAGTCCTTCCAATGAATATTCAGGACTGATATCCTTTAGGACTGACTGGTTTGATCTCCTTGCTGTCCAAGGGACTCTCAAGAGTCTTCTCCAACACCACAGTTCAAAACCATCAATTCTTTAGTGCTCAGCCTTCTTTATGGTCCAACTTTCACATCCATACATGACTACTGGAAAAACCATAGCTTTGACTAGATGGACCTTTGTCGGCAAAATGATGTCTCTGCTTTTTAATATGCTGTCTAAGTTTGTCATACCTTTTCTTCCAAAGAGCACGTGTCTTTTAATTTCATGGCTGCAATCACTGTCTGCAGTGATTTTGGAGCCCAAGAAAATAATGGACATTGAAATCAACAAGAGAATGTCTAGGAAAAATGAGTAGGAAGTATAATAATCAGAATTTGGTAGGTAACCATGGGAATGGAGTTGAAAAGAAAAAAGGAGGAATTACAAATGAAGTATTGGTTTCAAATCTTGTCATTTACGGATTTGGAGACAGAGGCAATGGATTGTATTTGACAGGAAAGATCCTTCAGGTTAGGGTTTATGTAGTCTGAGGTGTCTAGAGCAGTACATTCAGATGAATATGACTGGTAAACAGTTGGATATGAGTCTAAAAGTCAGGAATAAGCTGTGAGCTAGAGAAATGCCTGGAGGAATCAGAGATTAAACAAAGGTATACATTTTTGAAGCAGGTTGGTTAAGAGAAAAAAGAATAAAACAGAAAGAATTAATAACTGACTAGGGTACAAAGTTAGTTAATGCCTGAACTAAATGATTGACAAGAACTGAGTTTATGTGTAAGTTATTTTTAGGAAGAGCAAGACAAAACAGTCCATACCTTAAAAAAAATTTAAAGTATGGTGCTCTGAGCTAAGGTCGGGTGTTAGCCTTGTATCTCGTCTCAGTCCCTGACTGGGTATCCGAGGCCACGCTCCTGGCCACGCCCACCCGCACCCGCACCCGCGCCCGCACCCTTGGGCGCTTCATCCTGCTTGGCCGCCATCTTGAGAGACGTTGGCCTTCTCCAACCTGTATTCCTGATTTAGGTTTAGAGTTGTAGTCACCGTAAGTACAATTCTGTGCTTACCCCTTAGGCATCTCTAGAAAGAGGAAGCTACATTAATACACTTAATTTGGTAGGCACACCTTAGGCATTCTACCCTGCCAGCTCACTATGTCTAGTGAAGCTGGCGCTGCCATCATCCTTCCCTGCTCAAGGGACGGCGCTAAGAACAGAGGGCTTCCTCTTAAGCCGGTCCCCAGGTGGGGCGGGGAGGTTAACCAAAGTGCCATTAAAAGATTTCAAAGGCAAATAAAGTTATGACAGATCACTTAAAAGGTGAGGAATGTAAAATCTGTAATCACAGTAGCTCGATATTCCAGGAAAACTTGGTTCTTTTAACAGAGAGCACTTCAGTCTTTCATCAGCTTATTTTTAATAACAAAGTCCCTAATTAGATCATTTACCTAACTAAAATCCAGTCTAATCCTAATCATTTCTGACCACCTACAAAACTGTTTTCTCAGGGTTCCTTTCCCATAAACAACCTTTCACAATTTTCTGTGTACATACTGTTTAGTCGCTAAGTCATGTCCAACTCTTTTGTGACCCCATGGACTATATGCTGCCAGACTCCTCTGTCCAGGAGGTTTTCCAGGCAAGAACACTGGAGTGGGTTACCATTGCTTGCTCCAGTGTACCCATATTAAGTTAACCTTTATTTTCTCTCCCATTTAGAAATAGCCAGGATTAGGAAAAAGTCACTTTGTTTTCCTTTAACAAAATGCATTTCCATTTTTTCATACTTTCCTGCACTGAAAACACATATCTTTCCTGTATGCTAAAATGTTTCCCTTATTATTTCTAGTAGCTTGAATTATGTGTATTTTATTATTTTTCCTTAGTTTTTTTTTTTTAAAGGCTGAGTAACATTCCATTAGAGTCCACCTGCCAATACAAAAGATAAGGGTTTCATCCCTGAGTTTGGAAGATCCCCTGGAGAAGGAAATGGCAACCCTCTCCAGTATTCTTGCTTGGGAAATCCAAGAGGAGCTTGGCAGGCTACAGTCCATGGAGTTACAAAAGAGTCAGACACAACCCAGTGACTAAACAACAAGTATTCCATTGTGTATGTGCATCTTATATATCATATCTTCTTTTTCTATTCATTTGGTGATGGACATTTAGCTTGCTTACATGTCGTGGCTATTGTTAATAGTACTGCAGTGAACATTGGGGATCGTGTATCTTCTCAAATTACAGTTTTCTCCAGATACATGCCCAGAAGTGGGATTGCTACATCATATAATAATTTTATTTGTAGTTTTTTAAGGAACCTCAATACTGTTCTCCACTGTGGCTGTACCAATTTACATTTCCACTAACAGTGTGGGAGGGTTTCCTTTTCTCCACACCCACCCCAACACTGATTGTAGATTTTTTGATGATGGCCATTCTGACCAGTATGAAAACAGTATGAAAAGGCAAAAAGATAGGTCATTGAAAGATGAACTCCCCAGGTCAGTAGGTGCCCAATATGCTACTGGAGGTCAGTGGAGAAATAACTTCAGGAAGAATGAAGAGACGGAGCCAAAGCAAAACAACACCCAGTTGTGGATGTGACTAATGATGGAAGTAAAGTCCAACCCTGTAAAGAGCAATATTGTATAGGAACCTGGAATGTTAAGTCCTTGAATCAAGACAAATTGGAAGTGGTCAAACAGGAGATGGCAAGAGTTAACACCGATATTTTAGGAATCAGTGAACTAAAATGGACTGGAATGGATGAGTTTAACTCAGATGACCATTATATCTACTACTGTGGGCAAGAATCCGTTAGAAGAAATGGAGTAGCCATTATAGTCAACAAGAAAGTCCAAAATGCAGTACTTGGATGCAATTTCAAAATGACAGAAAGATCTCTGTTCATTTCCAAGGCAAACCATTCAACATCACAGTAATCCAAGTCTATGCCCTGACCAGTAATGCTAAACAAGTTGAAGTTGAATGGTTCTGTGAAGACCTATAAGACCTTTGACTGGGTGGATCACAACAAACTGTGGAAAATTCTGAAAGAGATGGGAATACCAGACCACCTGACCTGCCTCCTGAGAAATCTGTATGCAGGTCAAGAAGCAACAGTTAGAACTGGACGTGGAACAACAGACTGGCTCCAAATCAGGAAAGGAGTACANATTCATTGGAAGGACTGACGCTGAAGCTGAAACGCCAATACTTTGGCCACCTGATGCAAAAATGTAATTCATTTGAGAAGACCCTGATGCTGGGGAAGATTGAAGGCGGGAGGAGAAGCTGTTAACAGAGGATGAAATGGTAGGATGCCATCACCAATTCAATGGACATGAGCTTGAGTAAACTTCAGGAATTGGTGATGGACAGGGAGGCCTGGCATGCTGCAATCCAAGGAGTTGGACACAATTTAGTGACTAAAACTAACAACCAAGATTTAGAAACAGCATTTCATGTTTTCTTTTATTTTCATTTGAATATAAAGTAGTTCCAAATTCTCAGCCTCCAAATAGCCAATGTTTAACAAAGAAGACAATCAGATATTAGACATACAAGACAACTAAGGCCAAAACATAAAATAAACTAAAACCAAAACCTCAGGACATTAGCCCAGGTTTAGAAGAACTCTGCAGGTGTAATGTTTTTATTGCCCCTGTTAGTGTAGGCCTCTAGCCCATGATCCTACCAAGTTCCCACCACCTGGTCCTCTAACCCACCATCTAGAAAGTTTAAGTACAGGTGCTTTTTAATCGGGTTGTTGTTGTTCAGTTGCTCAGTCATGCCCGACTCTTTGAGACCCCATGGACTGCAGCACACCAGGCTTCCCTGTCCTTCACTATCTCCCAGAGTTTGCTCAAACTCATGTCCATTGAGTCAGTGATGCAGTCCAACCATCTCATCCTCTGTTGTCCCCTTCTCCTCCTGCCTTCAATATTTCCCAGGTTCAGGGTCTTTTCAGATGAGTCAGTTCTTTGCATCAGGTGGTCAAAGTATTGGAGCTTCAGCATCAAATGTCTTCCAGACCCAGAAATTGTTTTTACTTGCCATGAAAAATAATGCACCAAAGGTCAGCAGCATCATGCCGGGGGAAATCCAGGGAATGGTCCCTGGAACAAATGGACCAGGCAGCTGCTTGGACTCATCCACAGGCTCCTAATGCCTGCAAAGAACCAACAAACCATGGATAAAAAGTCTGACTCCCCAAATTTATTACCAAATCAGTTTCATTTGCTTGGCATGCAATAAAGCAAGCACAGATATGCCAGGGTTTGTAGAGGAGAACAAATCTCAGAGCCAGAAATAAAACTCAGTTCCAGGTCCCTGAAGGTGAGGGATTTGAGATATTTATGGGATAAATAATCAGGGTGGTCTTTATGCTCCAAATAAAAACAGTTGGCTAAACAGTGTGAGAAAAGGTAATTTGAGGTAGAGAAAAGGTGAGGCAATTGGTATTTTGTGCAGGTGTATCTGAGTGACGTTCTTCTTCGTAGATGCATGTTCAAAAAGTGGAGATGCTTATCATGATATGAGGGTGAAGTTTGTGGCCCTCTGTCATCAAAAAATCATACATCAGATACTTGAGCAAGCTCAGTTTTAGGGTTAGTATCCCAACTAGTGTATGTGGGCTTGAACTGGGCAAGAGCTGACCTCAGGTTCCTAAGCTATGTGAATCTTGGAGGGTATCCATTTTGCAACAAATAAGGCAAACTTGCTCAGTGAAGCAGAGGGTGTTTTGAACAGCTGTATGCTTATCTACTGATCTGTTTGTTGGTTTAGTCACTAAATTGTGTCCGACTCTTGTGACCCCCATGGACTGTAGCCTGCCAGGCTCCTCTACCCATGGGATTCTCCAGGCAAGAATACTGGAGTGGGTTGCCATTTCCTTCTCCAGGGGATCGTCCTGACCCAGGAATCCAACCTGAGTCTCCTGCACTGCAAGCAGATTCTTTACTGACTGAGCTATGAGGGAAGCCCACTCATAGCTTCCCTGGTAGTTCAACTGGTAAAGAATCAACCTGCAATGCAGAAGACCCTAGTTTGATTCCTGGGTCGGGAAGATCTTCTGGAGAAGGCTACCCACTCCAGTGTTCTTGCACTTCCCTGGTGGCTCAGCTGATAAAGAATCCACCTGCAATGCAGGAGAGCTGGATTCATCCCTACGTTGGGAAGATCCCTGGAGAAGGGAACAGCTACCCACTCCCACTATTCTGGCCTGGGGGATTCCATGAACTGTATAGTCCGTGAGGTCGCAAAGAGTCAGACACGACTGAGCGACTGATCTGTTAGACAAGCTCAAAAATTTCTTATTCACCTGTTTCTGGTCATCCTATTGTTTATGGTTGCAGGATGGATTTTTTTTTAACTTTATGGGGGTACAGTTTCAATTTCAGTTCTTAGATATTTACTAAAACCAGTTGTGTGGCTCAATATACAGTTTTGGAAACGTGTTCTATTTCCATTAGAAGACAATGTTCATTCTGTGATTATTGAAGACAGTGTTCTATATATGTTAATTTAGATTAGTTTGTTAATCAAGTTGTTAATGCTTTATCTACTTAGAGAATTTTTGTCTGCTTATTATATCCTTTATTGAGATAAGTATGCTAAATCTCCTGTCATGATTGTGGATTTGTCTGCTTCTCTTCTAGAGGCTGTGTGATTGGATGGCTATAAATGAAAATTTCTTTTCTAAAAAATCATTTTTCATCATTATGAGATGTCCCTCTTTGTCTCTGCTAATGCTTTTTTCCTCAAGATTCTTTTTTTTTTTCCTCAAGATTCTTTGATCTGCTAACAATATAGTGAAGTGATTATGTCACATGGCCCCAGTTCTCATTTTTTCCTCTACTACATTCTTTGTGTTCATAGCTGTTGCCATGCGACTTTACAGTGGCCTCCTAACATGAGTTGACACACTCTGCTTTGACTTTGACATGAAGACATCCCTTGGAGCAGAGAGTTGAAATGGGTTTCTACCTTGGTCCTGCTCTCTTAGATAATTTCCATCACAATGAGAACATACTCAGGCCAACCT